GGTCAGTGCGGTTGAAGCGGGCCTGCCTTGCGGATCTCTGCTGCCCCCACCGTCGGGAAGAGCGAGCGAGCGGGCGCCCGCCCCTACCGTCCTGCTGGCTACTGCGGGCCTAGCTTTCATGGGCCGAGGTGGGGCGCGAGAAAGAAAGGTGGCCTTGGAAGCAGGCTGGGAGGGTGCCACCTTCAGCAGTGCGGTGCAGTGGTTAGAGCTGGCCTCGTAGCGCTTGTTCATAGGAAGTTAAACATGGGTCAAAGCGCTCAATAAAGAAGCTTTTTTTCTCATTTTCCAGCCTAAGACCCCAGTGCAGCCTGGGTTCACTTTTCCACCCGCACTTCCAAGATTGACTTGGAGAGGAGCAACTGTGGTCTGTTGTGAGCGCATCCTGTCTTTGGAGAAATTGAAGGTTTTCTGTAAGTTGCACAGGAAAGGTAGGGGGCTTAGCTTGTGTTGGGGGTAGTGGTGTTATGCCAATTTTAATTTTATTTTTGTAAGTTGCAGAGGAAAGGTAGGGGGCTTAGCTTGTGTTGGGGGTAGTGGTGTTATGCCAATTTTAATTTTATTTTTGTAAGTTGCAGAGGAAAGGTAGGGGGCTTAGCTTGTGTTAAGGGGGGGTGTTGTGCCACTTGTTTGTCCAGGGCAGTTTTGGCCAGGGGTGTGAAGGTGCGTGGGAAGGTGTGTGTGAAGCGGATATGAAGCACTGCCTTTTGTTTTTGTAAATGTAGCAGCTGTGCTGAGAGGGGTCCCAAGAAGGCTGCTTCTGCAGAGGCCGGGAAGATGACAACGGAGAAGACTACTCTAGAGATGAAGAAGGAGACCATGAGGAAGCACAACGATGTTCCTGCGGCTGAGGACTTTGCCACGGAATTCCTGGAGGTCGTGAGGACACAGGGCTACCTTCCACAGCAGGTCTTCAACTGCAACAAGACCGGACTGTTTTGGAAGAGGATGCCCAAGAGGTCCTTCCTCAGTGAAGTGGAGAGCAAGCTGCCTGGCCACAAGCCCATGAAGGACCGTCTGACCCTCCTCTTCTGTGCCAACGCCAGCGGGGACCTGAAGATAAAGCCCTTGCTGGTGTACCGCTCGGAGACCCCACGGGCCTTCGAGAAGCGCAAGGTCAACAAAGGCCAGCTGGGCGTGTTGTGGCGATCCAGTGCTAGGGCTTGGGTCACACGTGTCCTATTTGTGGACTGGGTCAATGTGGCTTTTGGCCCTGCTGTCAAGCAGTACCTGCTGGACAACGACCTGCCACTGAAAGCCCTGCTCCTGATGGACAATGCTCCCGCCCATCCTCCAGGCCTTGAGGAAGACTTGTTAGAGGAGTTCAGCTTCATTAAAATCATGTTCCTGCCGCCTAACGCCACCCCGGTACGCCAGCCACTGTATCAGCAGGTGATTGACAATTTCAAGAAACAGTACACCAAGGAGCTTTTCACGATCTGCTTCGAGATGACTGAATGCACCCACCTCACCCTGTGTGAATTCTGGAGGGACCACTTCGACATTGTCGGCTGCTTGAAGTTGATCGCCATAGCCTGGGACGGGATCAGCCAGAGAAATCTTAATTCTGCTTGGTGCAACCTGTGGCCGGACTGTGTGGCAACAAGTGACTCTGATGCTTCTGCGCCTGCACCAGAGTCAACAGTGATGGAGGACATTGTTGCCTTGGGGTGGGCCATGGACCTTGAGGTCACAGAGGAGGACATCTGTGAACTGGTGGAGAGCCACAACAGGGCGCTGTACACCCAGGAGCTGGTCGAACTGCCGGCTACGGAGCAGCAGGCCTCTTTGGAAGAGGAAGATCCAGGCGAAGAACAACTGCCCACCACTGAACTGAAGGAGCTCTTAGAAAAATGGCAATTCGTTAAGGATATAGCACAGCGGTACCACCCGGACAAGGCTCTGGCACGTGAAATTAATAACAAGTTTGCCGCAGCGACCGTGTTCCCTTTCAGAAGGCTGCTGAAAAGGAGGCAGAAGCAGCTGACCATGGAGAGGTTCCTCACAAAGAGGCCGAGACAGGAAGAGGAACCTGCTGCTTCTACCAGTCGTGCCCAGTTGCCTTCCTCCTCCTCCTCCTCCTAGAAGCCTTGGGGTCAAGGCTGAACGCCTTCTCCCAGTTGTCCATCATTCGGGCCATCGCCAGAGAGACCCTCTGCAGTTCTGGGAATGTAAAAGACTGCTGCTGTGATGTGGGGACCATTCTGTCTACCTCCAGTTTCCTGACTTAAAACACTGGTCCTGGTGGTTTAGAGACTTCAGCCTCACTTGTTCACTTTAAAATGTGAAATGTAAAAAGTTTCTGTACTGTTGTTTTCTGTATGCTTACATGCTTTGAAAATGCACCTTTTGAAGAGTTTTGCATAATCCAAGGACTTCTAGTGACTGTTTCTGTTCAGTTTCAGTGAAGGTAGATGTTCCTGCCTCATGTTTGCTGATTTATTATTATTATTATTATTTTCACAGAAGAAGAGAAAAAAAGAAAGAAAAGCAACAGACCAAATATAAAGGAAAAAGAAGAAGAAAAAACCCTAACTAACCCCTCAATTTAAACTAAACCCTCCCCCCTTTGGAGTCAGAGACTCCAGCCTCGTTAACCCCTCTACTCTCCCCGGTTTGGTTTCCAGTATATACTGAGTAGATATACATATATCGTAAGCTTTGCCCTACACTCCTGTCTTCTTCTGGGCCCGAAAGTATATTAGTTCCCAGCTTTGTTTTACATAGTCTCTTGGTTGTTCCCGTAGTGCTTCTGATAGAGTGATGCTTGCTGATTTTTAAAGGTTTTTCTATGATGTTTAAAAAGTTAAAATTGTGACTGAAGTTTTTGAAATCATCTGCGCAATATGTATGGCTTTAAAGAGCACCTAATAAATCCTTTGTAAACCAAATTTGACTTTCTTCAGACTTTTTTGCCCATAGGAAGGCATTAATTAGATTTCAAGGTATTCCTGTGGGAAACCGCATTTCACAAGACAAATTTTTCGCAAGACAACATTAACTGCAGAACGAATTAAATTTGGCTTGCAAGGCTGTTGGGTTCAGGCAATGAGCAGGCT